ACAGTGGATAGCGTTGAAGGCGCGTTCTGATTGGCTAGTCAAACTCCGAATATCCTTTGTTATTACCTCCGAGCAACTCGGGAAAAAATGGCGTCCCGGTTTGCATCCGTGACAAGCGAAGAAATCACTCACATTAACGACGGTGGTGTATATTATCTCACTGTTTTAGTATATACTAAAACAACTATTCACCTCAGTGTCGGTGATTAGCGGTGGATATTTACCGAGCCGCGAAGCGGCGAGGTAAATATCCACCATTAACCACCTCCACTTTGGTGAATAGTTGTTAATTATTCCCTAAAGAAGTCTTAATTGGGGTCGAATCGCGTCCGAAATAAACAAGAGCCATGCTCTTGAAATACATGAGAAGCGCTTTTTTTTCAACAAATTTTAAAAAAAAACGGGTTCAAATCTAAGAATTCATCCTCCAAATGAAATCAGATCCCAAGTTGCTTATCCAGGCTTCAACCCGATTTTCCATTCTTTTTTTTCAATGCATTCTGGAGAATCGGGATTAATTCTACGAATTCATCCGCAAGTAGCTAACACGCTAAGCTCCCATATGATGATCTTTACCCCGATTTCCCATTTGATCAGCGAATTCGAGAAAAATAGGGTAAATTCTGAGCCTTCATGTTACAGGTGAATAATACCCGAGGTTCCGATATGCCCGAATTTCCATTTTATTTTTTTCACTAAATTTGACAAAAAACGGGGTAAAATCTAAGGGTTCATTCTCCAAATTAATAGATCCCAAGTTGCCATAGCCAATCCTTAACCCGATTTTCCCTTTTTTTTTTCAATAATTCTAGCAAAACGGAATGAATTTTGAGAATTCGGCCCACAAGTAGCCGCATACTCTAAGTTCCCATATGCCACCTTCACCCCGATTTTCTATTTGATCAATGAATTTTAGAAAAACTAGGTAAATTCTGAGGATTCATGCTACAAGTGGATAATACCCAAAGTTCCCGTATTATATCTTTACCCCAATTTTCCATTTTTCAACAAACTATAGAAAAATGGGGTAAAATCTAAGAATCCATTCTACAAATGAAATAGATCCCAAGTTGCTATATCCTGTCTTCACCCCGATTTTCTATTTTTTTCAATGAATTTTGGAGAAACGGGATTAATTCTGCGAATTCATCCGCAAGTGGCTAACACGCTAAGTTCCCATATTATGATCTTTACCCCGATTTCCCAGTTGATCAGCGAATTCGAGAAAAATGGGGGTAAATTCTGAGCCTTCATGTTACAAGTGAAGAATACCCGAGGTTCCCGTATGCCCGAATTTCCATTTTCTTTCAGTGAATTTTACAAAAAACGGGGTAAAATCTAAGAGTTCATTCTCCGAATTAATAGATCCCAAGTTGCCATAGCCAATCCCTAACCCGATTTTCCATAAGTTCCCATATACCATCTTTACCCCGATTTCCCATTTGATCAGCTAATTCGAGAAAAACGGGGTGAATTCTGAGCCTTCATGTTACAAGTGAATAATATCCGAGGTTCCCATATGCTATCTTTACCCCGAATTTCCATGTTTTCTTTTTCAGTGAATTTGACGAAAAACGGGGTGAATTCTAAGAGTTTATCCTCCGAATTAAATAGATCCTAAGTTGCCCTAGCCAATCGTTAACCCGATTTTCCATTTTTTCTTTCAATGAATTCTAGAAAAACGGGATGAATTTTGAGAATTCGGCCCACAAGTGGCTAGTACCCTAGGTTCCCATATGCCATCGTCACCCCAACTTTCCATTTGATCAGTGAATTTCAGAAAAACGAGGTAAATTCTGAGCATTCATGCCACAAGTGGATAATACCCGAAGTTCCCATACGATATCTTT